ATATAATTATTTATTTTAGGGCTTCTATTCGTTCATTAATTTGTTTATTTATTTAATAAATAAAAAGGGTGTTACATCTACCCCCTTGATGAGTTCTTCGAGTTCTAAGAGCTTCATGGTGCATAGATCACGGTTTGAAGAGCAAATGAGTAACAAGTTTTAACAAAATCATGAAGTTAAACTTCTTGTGTAAGAGTAACTTACCAAAATGGATGAGTTCTTGATGAAGTTCTCTTGAAACACACACACAAACTCACGAAATTTTGAGGAGGAAAAGGGAGTTCTTGAGAGGATATTTGAGAGAGTTTGAAAGAAAAGTGAATGTAGTGAGGGGTGGGTTCGGCCGAAGATTAAGAAGAAGAGAGGGATGGGTTAACTAGGTTATTACATGTAGGGTTAACACATGCTTAGATACATGATGTGCAATGGCTTGGTTATCCTCTAAACAACAATGAGGTGTGAGCATTTAACTCCATGCAAATTCTTTTTTGTATATAGTTGGGCCGAGAATAAGGGAGAAGAGAATAAAGGAGAGTTAGTTTGGGCCTTACATGCTTGACTTCGATACTATGAGGCCCAAAGGAATGGTTTTCAGCCCATTGGGCCCTTATGAGGGTTCACGGCCCAATAAGATAAAAGAAATGGAGTTTATGGCCCATTAGGGCTTATGAAACCAATTATGGCCCATCATGGCCCATTAGAAATAAAATGAATCATTCTAGGCCCAAAATGGCCCAAAAGACTAGATCTTAATGAAGGTGGGTCCAATTAGAGCCCAAATAGAGTTCCTTGGTCCAACATAACCAAATTGAAAGTTTACTGGCCCATTAGGCCCAGTAAGAAGATCATGGCTCATTTTGAGGTTGAATTGAAACATTAGGGTTACGACCCAATGTTGAATGTATAACATGCATTGAATTTGGTTCTTGGAATGGACATCATATATTGTCAAGCTTAAAGTTGCAGAATACAGCGAAAGTTGATTACATGTAAACAAAATTTCCTAGCCGAGAGTACTCGTTGTGACAGATATCTTGGGCCCCTCGATGATTTTGTTTTGACTTATGTGTCGGGCCCGGTCAGGACTAGTTAGTTGATGTGTTCAATTAAGTTCTATGTCAGACAAATCAGAAATCGGGAAACTAACTGCTGGACAATAAGTATGACTATGTTCCATGTATTTGTCTGCATGATATCTTGAGAACGGAGGACTACATGATCCCTTATCTATAGGACGTGCCAGAGTTCGTCAGCGGCTTTTGAGAGCTACAATTGCTAACCGGATTTTGAAGTCGTACTTGCATTTATTGTTATTAGACTTATCCAAGTGGGAGACTGTTGGATTAGGTGTCTAAGTCTATAACTATATTTGGTATGTACTTGAACCGATTGTAGCATGGTCCTTTTTGGTTGCCTTTACCATAGCAACTTGACTCGATGAATTATGGAGAAAGAGGTTAATTATGATTTATTAATATATTATGGGAATAATATATTAAAATAGAAATCATATTTTTTAATTAATATTGGTCAAGAATTAATTTAGAATTATTTTTGTGGTCAAAAGAGATTAATTAAATTAAAGGGGACTGATACTGTAATTACAAGATAGTTACAAAGCTGGGCTTAGGATCCCTAAAGAAGGGATGGACGAATTCTATGAGGAAGCCCACATAGAAATCGTCCATAGGGGCCTTCTGGAAGGATCATGTGGACTGCTTAAGGACTAAGCAACTGGATTAGGGTTTTGACTGAAACCCTAGCAGCTCAGCTATATAAGGAACCCTTGGGCATCCCAAAATCGGCCACTAGAAACCCTAGAAGGATCTCCAGCCGATTTCGTGCCTCCTCCTCTCTCTCATACTCTTCCAACTTGCTTTTTGGTGTTCGTGATGTATTAGAGGCATCGCATTTGAGGTGCTAAGTTCTCAAAGGTTGAAGATCAAGCTAGCTACAATTGAAAGGTAATCATCTAACTTAGTTTTAGTTATTAATTTTGATTTATGCATGCTAGATTAGGGTTGTAGCTTTGGATGATTATTGCATGTACAATTAGAGAAAAACCTAGATCCAAAGCTTTAGGGTTGCATGTGCACCATAGGAATGATGTAATGCTCAAAACCCATCAATTAGAACCTTATTTTGATTTGGTTTAGGATACTTATTGATTATCCATTTCCTTTGAACTATAGAATATAAATTTCCCTTGCTATAGATGATGGGTTAATAAGCCCTTGACATTGGATTTGGTTATTACCTTCTTTGGATAAAATTTTTGACTTATTAAACTCTTGATGTTGATTTATGTATATTATATCCTTGTTTTTTAATATGATTTTATATACCATTTACCCGTGGTTATTTAAGTCGTAGTACTCTACCTTTTGGTTTATTAATACTTATGGTAATTGTTGATTTTTATATTGGCGTTGGGGGTTGTTCGAGAGTATGATATTGATTCTTGATCGTAATCTTATTGAGCTCACGGTAGTCGATACCAATTCGCATCGACCCGTCTTTCTTTTTAACGAATAACACTGGTGCACCCTATGATGAAGAACTCGGACAAATAAAACCTTTCTTGAGTAATTCTTAAAGTTGAGACATTAATTCACACATATTTGTATGGGCAAAACGATAAGGATCTCGAGCAACCAGAGTTTCATCCGATACAAGATCAATTTGAAGTTCAACTTTCCTTTTGGGCGACAATCAAGGTAAATCATCGGGAAATACTTTAGGAAAATCCTGAACGAATTTGATTCCATCTTACATTATCTTTTCTTTTCTTCAGTCGAGAACATAAGCAATAAATGAATCACATCCTTTCATCACACATCAAGATTTGTTATGAGTAAATGACTATAATGTTTACAAATGATTTTTCCTCACGAATTTGTGCATTCGTGTTAGTAGATGGGAATTATTTAAGTTTGTCCAACCTAAAAATCCACGGTAAATGACTTTTGATGATGTTTAATGACTAATGACAAGTGATGGTACTTTAGACAATTCCTTACTTGAATGCAAGGCTATCTACATGGTATGTGGATCTTATGAGCAGACACATTATTCGAACTATGATTATAAAGTCTCATTTGCATATTGTTTGGCATATGTTCCTTCTTTGCTTGTATACTCTCCCATGAAGACTATGTAAGACACGTCTCACTTTATGACTTGTAAGGTTATTGACTTGAGAATAGATAGATGCATATTGTATTGTCTTATATTTTTTTTTATGACTATAATGATGATAAATTCAAATCTATTTATGACTAAATGTAGGATAATGACTTATAACTTTGAAATGGATTTTGGATTATTAACTAGTAATGACTAAAGATTTATGAGTTTTTAATAACTAAGATTATTCTGAATGTGTTTAAGTAAACACTTGCTTTTATCAAAATATTTGAAGAAAACGATTTCTTACTCGTTGGTAAAGGATTGTGTCAAATCTTTTTAGAAAATGATTTTTTAGTGATAAATATTAGTATTATTCACTAGACATTCTCAATGTCTTACCCAAATATTTTGACATGTATTCAGGATAGTAGTGAATAAAGACTTTAAAGGACTTACATTTTAGAAGATCCAGATTATTGTAATGGTTTATTTAAACTTCGTCATGATATTGTATTGATCCATCATCCTACTACTTAAAATTGAATTGTTAAACTTTTGAATGACTTTAAAGACTATAGGACCATAACTTTCTACAGATAATGATTTTAAATGATAAAATGATTCTAAATTAATTTAAACAGTTAAATCAAATGAAAGGTTTTTCAAAACTAAACCAAACAAAAATTGAATTTGAACCAAACCAAGTATTAAATTTGGTTTGTGGTTTGGTTTCAAACCAAAAAAAATTAGTTTATGGTATGATGATGTTCGAACCAGAGTGAAATGAATTATCGAATTTAACTAACTAATTAATTAATTAAATAATTAAATTATAATACAAATAAAAATTATATTAAAAATTTTGAAACATATGTTCACTAGTTCAATTCAACATTTACATTTTACAATTGACATTGCGATCCAAAAGTCCAAAAGCTCTATGTCTTGGTCTTTTTTCTTTCATTTAATTTGTTCAAGCAAGAGTGAGTCTATATTTGAAATTTTAAATATTTATATTTGAAATTTTGAATTTTATGTTTGGAATATTGGCACATTGGATTTTATTTTTAACCTTAAATTTTGGTTTTCTTGGTTTCTAACAACACCAAACCGAATTCTAATTCTGTTATCGGTTTGGTCTAGGCTGCTTTCCATTTGGTTTGGTTTGATTTTCGGTATGGATCCCAAAAAATTTCGAACCGAAGAGACCATAAACTGAACCGTTCTCACTTTACATATGGCTCTATACCATTTTAGTAATTATATATGGGTGGTATTGAAAGAGAAATATGTACAAAGGGCAAAGGTTGTTGCTATGGCCGTATATTGAAGAAGGAACAATGTGTACAAATATGTGAAGCAAAGCAAAACAAAACCTCAGCTATAGTTACTTAGGTTAAATACCACTAATTATGGGGAAAATAAAAAAGTAACCATGACCAATTGAATATTTGGAAATATAGATCAACTACATCCTAATTTGTCGACGATGATTTGTATTTTACCGATATATTTCGTGGCTAAATCCGTCGTTGGTACTCCACCGTCGTTGGTACTCTATTTTCTAAGTAATTCATGTATTATATATTGCTGCTAACAAAGAATTGGACCCAATAATTTTCACCAAAAACTAATGTATTGATACGTAATCCATTGATATACATGCATACACATTAATACGTATGCATTCTTACCAGCAACTACAATTCCAACAATAAATAACAAGGCGCCTTCTTTCCTGGAAGTTTCTGTATGCCCCCTCCCTCCCAAATGATGAGAAATAATTAAAAACAAAAAAAGACCTTGACTTCATAACAATCCTTCTTGGGTTCTTTAATTGGATGGACCAACATAGAACTAGATTAACAACAATGGATGAGACTTCTCTTGGCATAGATCTTAACGTCAGTCCCTTCTACAAAACGGATGATACCCCAGTAAGTATATCATAATTTCATTTAAATTAATCTTACATATATATATCTGGGCATATATATGCTTCATTATATGTATAGGTTACATGTGGTGTATATCTCGTCATATCTTCAATCTCTATGTACATAAAAGCAGATGAATGATGATCTAGTTGGGGGACTAAACCAGATGCGCTTAAAGAACAAGAAGCTAAGGGAGATGATAACAGTTGTTTTGGACAACAGCAATTCCCTCCAAAATCATGTTAACAAATTAATGCAAGAACACGATTTATTGGTCTCTAATACAAACAAAAGGAAGTTTGGTGAGTGTGACGATCGCAACACCACTGAGAGCAGGAAGAGTCTTCATCAAGAGTCGTTGAAAAGTACAAACGATGGCGTGACAAAATTTTATAGACGTACAGATCCATCTGATAAAAGCATGGTACAAAGCATGCCTTTTAAAGAGTATAACTTCTGTATAACTTATGGACTTTAATTTAGGTTTTGTTGACTTTACATGTAGATAATAAAAGATGGTTATCAGTGGAGAAAGTACGGACAGAAGGTTACCAGAGATAACCCTTGCCCTAGAGCTTACTACAAGTGCTCCTTTGCACCATCCTGCCCAGTCAAAAAGAAGGTCATTCTTCTCTTCCTACAAACACCAAAGTAGCAAATTGACCTAATAACTTCAAAATAAACTATATATAACCCAAATGTATTATGCTTTTTTTCAGGTACAAAGAAGCGTGGATGATGATGGTCTTTTAGTCGCCATCTATGATGGAGAGCACAACCACGAAAGCGCAGAGAGTGAACACAAGATTCAGGCTAGTTACGAAAGGTTGAACACTCCAAAGGAGGTGGGGAGATTTGATGCGATTTTTGTTGAACAGATGGCTAATTCCTTACGAAGAAACCCTGATTTCATTGAAGAGCTCGCTGTAGCCATTTCATCAAAGATTTTAGAACACGATGTGTTTTAAGCAAGCCAATATCCTTCGTACATCTATTCAAGAAAAATGTACGTATATACAACTGTGCTAATATATTTTAAAGGATATTCATGGATTTGTACGATGACTTTTTCATAGAGAATAGAAACCTAATAATATCATGTGGTAGTCTTGGTCGGCTTGCATGTAACTTAATGGCAAATAACATAAACACGACACAACATTTTACTTGGATATAATCCAAATGTCTTTTTTTTTTTTTTTTTTTTTTAAACAGCTCAGAAAATATCATTAAAAAAACGCCAACTCTAACATCCAGTTTTCTATAGGTAGGTTTCTACCGTATTTGCATATAACTTTAAACCACAATAAGTTACTGTTAATGACATATGAGACTAGAATACGAATGCATTTAACTTTGCAATTGAAGCGGATATCATTCCGGTTTTGCACCAAATGACCCACAAGAAGGCCCGAATCACCGCACCGTATTTAATGGCCTCTTATATTTAGACAATTTGGATTTGACTATTTAGATATTAAGATTTTATTATTATTTTTTAGCAAAATCAAATTATTATTTTAGATTTTAGATTGATAACATAAAAACCGAATATTCCAGAAAAACAAAAAACAATTATTTATATATTTATTTTTAATATATATCATTACTCATTTATTAATTTACTAAATTGTTTTTTATAAATAGATTCAAAAGTTTCACCTAATAAAAAAAACTTTTATTTTTTTTCTCAAAATTAAGGTTTTTTATATATAAAACATTAAATTATAATTTTCATTTGTTTATAGATATTAATTCACAACTAAATAATTTGTTTTATTATCTTGTTAGCTAATATTCAAATTATATATTTTTCAAATACTATGGCTTTTGAAAACATAATTATAAAAAACCATTCAAACCGAATGGTAATTGGTTGGGTTGTACTAGATCATATTTGAAATTAATTTTTACTATTCGAATTAATGTTTTGATAACCGAAATCAATTTAAATTCATTTGATTGGATCAAATCGAACTCATCCATTTGAACAAACACCCATAGCTTTGACTATAGGGAGCTTTTACGAACGATTGTTGGTTTTTGAAAAACCGAATTTTTATGTGTGGATTCGTTTTTACTAACGAGCCAAGTAACCAAATCCAAAGGGGTCAAAAACAAGGGAATCTGCAAAGCTAGCCACAACTAAACCCGTCTCTAAACTTGAATCGCTAACTCACATTGGAAAAACAAATGCGACATATCTTCCATACCTAATTGACAAATAGGGCAAAGAACCGAATCCAGTTCCATTCCTTTATCAACCAAAATAGTTCTAAGAGGAAGCCTGTGCAACAGAAAACGCCAAAGAAAAATATTAACATTAATAGGAACATACTTGCTCCATCTAGTAGCAACATTTCCCACTGGGAGTCTAACAGAATCGAGTTGTCTTCTTGCAGACTTAACCGAAAAAATACCACTAGAATCAAACTCCCAACACCATTTATCGGGAATAGAAGTCAACACTACCGACCTTAAAAACCCATAAGATTTTCGAATTGTAAGGCTCCACACCACCTCTAATAGGACGGCACCAAATGATTTGTGTAACTCAACAAACTGAAAATAAATCATATAAACCGAAATAAAATTATTTTTTAACAAAAATAAAAAAATGAACTTTATGGTTGACATTAACATATATCAATATAAATGTCTGTTTATGGAAGACTAAAATATTATGTATTTTGATATATTAATTAGTATTTCGATAGAAAGAAGCCTTAAAAAAATGGATAGTAGCCGAAACATAACTTCTTGAAAGTATAGGTATTTTTTAGAACAAAAAAGGGGTAAAATTGACATTTTCAAGTAATAATGTAAAACATCCCAAAAATCATGACCAAAAATTTCATTTTTAATTATTAAATAAAACCATAGTTATCCAAATCATCTCATTAAACATAAGTCATAGTATCTCAAAACATCATAATCGGTATATCAATATCAAATATCTGTCAAATATATTAGAGTAAACATCCCAGGTTGAATATCATGGTGTGTGCAATGCAGTCATCCCGAGCTCTTCCCTTTGCTACCGGAAGTACCTGAAACCAAAACTTAAAATAGTAAGCACGAAGCTTAGTGAGTCTCCCAAAACTACCACATACCAGACATATAACATGCAACTAGGAGATACGGGTCTCGCCCACACTCAAGGAGATACGGGCCTCGCTCACACTCGGATAACGGGCCCCGCCCTAAGACGTATGGGCCCCGCCCACGCTTAGTGAGATACGGGCCTCACCCACTCTCAGATATCTAGGAGATAAGGGCCCCGCCCACACTTAGCTAATAGTGAGATTCGGGCCCCGCCCACACTCATCTAACTAAGAAACACATACAAGTATCACACAGACAACAAGTATAACCAGATCTACCAATCCATTCCATATCCATACTCAAATAATGCTAAGATACGGGCCCTTCCCACACTTAGCTACTAATCAGCACACATAGCATACACGGGCGGCATTGGTGCCTTCGACCCGTTCAAACCAGGAAGAAACTCACCTCAAATGTCGGATGATAGCTGAAACGTCTATGCCCGGAATCAACTCTACTCACTCAATGAACCAAAGCAACCCCTTAGATATCATGTCATGCTCATAACCTTAGAGGGTCAACTACGGTCAAAGTTAAGTCTAGGTCAAAGTCAAAGTCAACACTCCAAGTTGACTCAACTCGTCGAGTTTACTCCTCAACTCGCCGAGTTCCCATAATCACAGAATCGTGAAATCGCGATCCAACTTGTCGAGTTTTCTTCCAACTCGCCGAGTTCCTCCTTCTCAACAGAATCGGGACTTTCCCAGTACTACTCGCCGAGTTCCCTTGTGGACTCATCGAGTTCCTTCTTTTTCAACAGAGTCGGGCACATTCCAAGCCAACTCGCCGAGTTCTCTTATGGACTCGTCGAGTTCATCAGTCTGTCAATCCTTCCTAATGCATTAAGCCCTTATCCTTCAAATCCAAGTCCCATATTCCAGATCTAGACTGGAAATGCCTCTAGAAGGGTAAAGTTTCCAACTTTACCCGTTAATACCTTTCCTAATTGGATTAAGCTCAAACCCTAAGCCAAAAAGGCCTAGGTCTTAATCCAAACACCATCAAAACTAAAAGATAGACCATGAGATCATAGATATGGACTCTAAGGACTAAATGATCACGTAAAGTCTTAAACTTTATCCACATGCATGGCCATAGAAGCTTCAAAAGACCAAAATGATGGTCTAGAGGTTGCATGGGACTTCCATGGCCATAAAATTGGCACCTTTATGCCATAAAAACCCCTTAAGGCCCTAGATCTGAAGTGTTCTCCACTTAGGACGTCCAAATCCCAAGAATCATATCATTTGGACCAAAATAAGCAAGGAACTTCAAAAATGGAGATCTAGATGACCACAAAGTAAGGTTCAAGCTTTATACCAACAAAATGTCGTGGATGAAGCAAGGATTCTGGATCTATAAACTCCTTCTTGTGTCCTCAAGCTTCTCCTTCTTCCAATGGCTTCAAAACACATACTAAAACACTTGAAATGGCTCATAAACACTCAAAATAGCATCAGGGTTTCGCGATCGAGGGTTTGGGACTTGGAGGCTGGAAATGAGGCCAACATGAAAGGTTTAAGGCGTTTAAATAGGGTGCAAACCCCGGAAATTAGGGTTTCATCCCTGCCAGCCTACTCATCGAGTTGAGGCCTCCGAACTCGTCAAGTAGATTTCTCAACCTGCGGTCCTAATAATCTCTACTCGACGAGTCTGGGGCTTCCAACTCGTCAAGTTTCTCTACAAAAGTGAATCAATTATGGTTTTAAATACATACCAGGAACCAGGTGTTACAATTCTCCCCCACTTGTCTCAGACTTCGTCCTCGAAGTATTTTGTCTCGAATAACTCTAGATAATGCTCTCTTATCTCCTCCTCGGGCTCCCAGGTCCACTCTGACCCTTTACAGTGCATCTACTGCACCTTCACCAACTGTACGACCTTGTTCCTTAAGGTTTTCGTCTTCCGATCCAGAATCGCTACTGGCTTCTCAATGTAGTTCATGCGGTCGTCCACCTTAATATCCTCCAAAGGCATAACTGCGGAATCATCCACTAAACACTTCCGCAGCTGGGAGACATGAAAAGTACTGGGGATCTGACTAAGCTCGTCTGGGAGATCCAGTCGATATGCAACCCGGCCCACCCGAGCCAAAACCTTGAACGGACCGATGTACCTAGGACCCAACTTGCCCCGCTTCTTGAACCGGATGACACCTTTCCAATGTGACACCTTTAGGAGAACCATATCCCCCACCTGAAACTCCAGGTCCAACCGACGCTTGTCGGCATAGCTCTTTTGCCGACTCTGAGCAGTCTGAAGCCTACTTTGGACCTACTGGATCATCTCGGTAGTCTTGAGTACCACTTCGGTAATTCTCATGACTCTCTGACCTACCTCGCCCTAATAGATTGGGGTCCTACATTTCCTCTCGTAGAGCATATCGAAGGGAGGTCGCTCTATGCTGGCGTGGTAACTCTTGTTATACGAAAATTCCGCTAACGGAAGATACGTATCCCAACTCCCTCCGAAATCTAATAAACACGCACGCAGCATATCATCTAGAGTCTGAATCATCCTCTCGCTCTGCCCATCCGTCTGAGGGTGAAAAGTTGTACTTAAGTGAAGACGAGTGCCCATCTCGTCATGAAACCGCTTCCAGAATCTGGAAGTGAAGCGAACATCTCGGTCTGACACAACCGACACCGGCACTCCATGACATGCCTCCACCTCGCGTACGTAGATCTCTGCTAGCTTCTCAGTCGATATACTCTCCTGGATCGGGATGAAATGTGCACTTTGTTGTATTAGATGTTTAAGCCCATAACTATTATTGATATGTACTCGACCTAAGAGTAGCATGGTCCATTTGGGTTGCACTTCACAGGAACAATTTGTATGGATAGCCTTTTGAGAATAG